TTGTAATTTGTGATTTAGTTCAGTTCACCTGGAAAGACTCAACATGAATAAAAACAGATGCACTTCAAGGCGCACGGCCTGGCTCTCTGACAATCCTCTTCCTTCCGCATCAGGCAGTCTTCCTGTGTCTGGGAAGAGAGCCCCATCACAGGCAGATGCAAGGTCTCTGTCCGTGCGACAGCTGCTAGCACTGGGACTGACGCGGGCAAGGCCAGCGCCGTGGCTCCAGACCTAGGCTCACTGCAGGGAGGCACAGATGCTGGCGTGACCTCGCGTCTAAATACATGTTTACTGTGAAGAACTTCTGACTGTGCATGCTTTCTGTTACCAGAACAATAAAGAGCCATATATGCAAACAGGGAGAGAGAGATGGAGGTGGGGGTACCTACACACACAGAAGGACAGGGAGAAGAAGACAGAGATAGACAGACAGACAGACAGATCCTGAAAGCAACCATGGGTGAGCTTCCAGGGAGTGGAGGGGCTGCAAACATCCCTTCAGCACAGCCTCCCCGGGGCAGCTGATGGCTGGCTGGCCCTGTACAAGGACTCCCGCTCGCAGTGAGGTGAGCCTGCCGTGGACATCAACAAGGCCTGTCAGTGGCGTCGGCAGTGGGCACTTAGGAGGAGAGAAGCTGTGCCCTGAGAGCTCAACTTCCAAATAACTGTCACTTCCCATCCTACACTCAACACATTTGCAGCCGGCAGTGCACAGCCTGCAGGACCTGCAGACCTGCCTGCAGAAGGTGCTCAAGTATTTGTTGGCTGGAGCCAGAATGGGATCCGAGCCACACCCCTGGGTCTCACTACACTGACTTACTCTTCAGGCAAGGGGATGGACTGGAACTTCACAGGACTTCCTGGCAGGTGAGCAGGTGATGTCCCCAGCTACATGCGTGGCCTCGCAGCTCCTGCCGTCACTGGCACATTCGGGTGGGTCAGCTCAAGTTGATTCCATGGTGCAAATATGCACTGAGCACCTGCTCTGGGAAAAATGCCCCCCTCAGTGCTGCAGGGAAATGCGGGTGGCCATGGCATCTGTACGAAAACCACTCCTTGGACCCAGCACAGTGTCTTACCCCAATCAAGGACTCTGTAAAGGCTCCTCCAGTGGGCCCACGGAGAGATGGCATGTGTCTCACCATAAATATTGTTTGCTAAGGTCATAAGAAGTAGCTCATTTATTTGGGCTGGCAGAGCCTTCAGACAAGTCTTTGGCTCTAGCAAATTGTTATTTCCACTGAGGGGACCCTTTGTCCAAGTGCATGGCTCTTAGATCCATGTGCAACATGCTTTTCATACTAAAGCTGGTGCCAACTGGATGGCCCTTGCTAGCTCTGTGTGGCACTTCACAAGTGTGGCCCTGGTGCCCTCGCTTCCATCCCTCCTGCAGACATAACTGAGTCAGGCAATTCAACCACAGTCAAACCACTTATCTGAACACTACCTGTTGTACCAGACCCCATGAGGCAGCTCTTACAAAGGACATTATACAGAAGAGACGGGGGGCAGAGAGGTCACACAACTTGCCCAAGGTCACACAGCTCATGTGTGGCAAAGCTGCAGTTTGAATCAAGGACTGTGCAACCCGTAGGTGTGCAGCTTTTTCAACTGCACTTTGCTTCTCCTGTTGGAGACAGAAAAGAAGTAGGAGATCCAGGCCTTGGGGAGACAACAGTTCAATATGAGAGGTTAAACAGCAAGTCCTGAGGAGGGGCATAGGATCAAGTGGGAGTTGGGGCCATGGTGTTGGCAGGTCCTCAGGGGGCTTGTGGACACAGCCAGAGCTAGTCAGAGTGAGCAGGGCTACGTTCACAGAGAGAAGCCCATGACCACAGAGAAAGCACGAGTCAGAAGGGCCTGCCCCCGGGCTCTCTGCAGAACTCGATCCCATGGGAACATGTGCAGCATTCCGGAATCCCTCAGTCTGTGGTTTGGCCCTGGTGGCTGATACTGCACGTGCCTCCTCCAGAGTATTTAAAAATGCCATGTAGATAGAGACATGAATCCCGCAGGAGAAATTCCTCCCGTCGTGTTCAGGAAAAGCCCTTCTATTAGCGGGGTTGTTTCATAGGGAATTCTGGAATGTAAAGGGGAGCAAAATTTCCCTGAATCACAAAAGCAAATCCAACTGGAGGCCTGCTTAGGCCATTCAAATAGGTGGCCCAAGGGCCTGCCCAGTGATGACTGGCTTTCCACCCTTCCAGGCGCTCTGTTCATGGTTCCTGTTGAACCCAAAGCACCTGAGCCCCTGCAGCAGGAGCAGGAGCCGCTCCCCACCAGAGCAGAGCGAGGGGTGAGGGAGGCACATGGCCCTGGCTACAGGGTCCTGCCCCTGCTCGGCAGCCTGCGGGCCAGCCAGCAACCTCTGGGCCCCCTCCTCCAGGCATCCCCCTGCCAGCTCAGGACCAGTAAGTTTTCTTCTGCTGACTTAAATTTGGAAATATTTCATAATTTAATGAAGCCTGAGACCTTTGAATTCCTAGGAAACCTGCCCACAGAGCATTTTACAGAGAACCTGTCTGCTGGCTGGGTATTTAATCCTTTAATCTTTGGTTTGTTTCTGGATGGCTGGCAAGTCTGTGATTGCCGCAGTCAGGCCCAAAAGGTCAGAAACGCTTTGGGTTTCTCAGGAGTTGAAACTGAGAGAGGATCTGCTCGGCACAATCTCTAATACACCAAGTTAAAGACGGACAAGTGAAGGCGAGTCCCCGGGTCTCTCAGACACTTGCGTGTGCACGGTGGCTCTGAGCTCAGCTCCCGCTTTAGTGGGGGGGCAGCTTCCCTCCTGCCAGGCTGAACGCTGCAATGCACAGAAGGCTGGGCCTCAGCCGGCCTCAGATTGCTGACAACGTGGCGCCCAACCCCACCTTTAACACCGACAGGATGCTTCTCTTACCTCCCAAATCCCTTTCCCCCTGAAATTCTGGTTTTCCCCATTGCCTCTGTCTTCTGCTTTGCTTTCCTGCCCCCAATACCCCCCGACACCACCGTCTTGCATTTTCTCAGCTGAAGTTCATTCCCAGGCTCTGATTTTTGTCTTCCAGGACAGGCCCGCTCTGAGTTTTCTGGAAGATGGTGATTCCCCACCCTCTCAGATGTGTAGAAGGCTGCGCGTTGGCCAATTGAACATGTGAGGCCTCAGCAGCCAGGGCAAGGGCTCAGCCACAGCTGTTTGGGGACCGGCCAGCCCTCATCCCCGTGAAAGGACCCCAGTCGTGGCCCTGATGGGAGAATCTGGGCTGGGCCTGAAGCCTGCAGGAGAGGGCGTGCGGGCCTGGAAGTCTTCCTTGGTGCCCTCTGACCATGAGAGTCTGACAGGAGGCCAGTCCTGTAAGCCTGGCTGGGGTCTGAGCCAGGTGCTTGCTCTATGGCCTCCATTAACCAGGGCAGGTTAAATACTGGTTATGTGGCCATAGGACAACTGGAGGGGGACAAATGTCGGACAAATGAGCAGAATGAAAACATCTAAATGTCATGTTTTCATTGTGAGCTTTCACCTCTGCCAAATCCTGGAAATTCTTAAGTCTTACAATTATATGGGCTTTTCATTTCCATTTAAACCTGAAACATCATTTTAGTGTCTTTCGAGGTAATCGTAACCAACTAAATCAACCTAGAAAACTGTGAGAGAAATATTAGAGTGACTCCACATACACCTGGTGGGTTTTTGTGAGATGTTTGACCCCGGGCATAAGTTCAAGGTTGATGGATTACAGGTTCAAATAGGTAAGTTTTACTAACCTGGAATGTCACTTGGAAAAGGTCATTTTATTAAGGCAATTTTAAGTGTTAAAAAGTTATAATTTCACTGCCATCATGTCTACAAGACCTTTTGTAAAACCTTCAGATATGAAATAAATAAGTCCTGGGGCCGTAATGTCTAGCATGGTGACCATGGTTTATGATACCGTATTGTATGTTCTAAAGTGGCCAAGAGAGTAGATCTTAAAAGTTCTCATCACAAGAATAAAAAACCGTAACTATGTGTGATGATGGATGTTAACAGACATACTGTGGTGACTGTTTGGCTATATATCAAATTGTTATGTTGTCCATCAATCATATCTCAATTTAAAAAAATTTATGA